GAGGAGGAGGAGGAGGAGGAGGAGGAGGAGTTCCAAACAAGAAACTTCCTTATTCACAGTGTAAGAAGTCAGATTTGCTGGTGGTGGTGACAAGATAAGATTTTTGTTTTATGGGAGGTGTGGTGATAATTAATTATGACAAGTTAACAAGTTTGGGATGAAATCTAGCTGTCCTACTAGCCCTGCAACTTTGAGCAAATTATTTTATCTTTTTCTTCATCTGTAAAATGGGCACAGTACCATGTGTAATTGTTTCCAGAACTTAATGTGATATGCTTGTTGTCTAGAACACAATTCAATAATATTATGATCATAATAAGGTCACAATGATAATAACAGTAACACTGCTAATACTAATTTAGTTACTAAAAATCATATTGCCCAAATGATAGGGGATATGATAGCCTTTAATCATCATTAATCCATCAAGGTGAATCTCTTTGCTTTTTGGCATAAACCCTTTGAATTTTTGTTTCTGTAAAAAAATTTTTTTTTACTTGAATGATCTACTTAATATTTTACAAGAAAAAAATAGAAGATAATAAGACAATATTTTGGTTTGTTTATGAAATGCACATGGCCTGTCAGAGCTCATTTGACAGTTAAACTATTGCTCAAAGAAATGCTGCTACTCTACGAGTTTGAGCTCTTGATTTCCATGGAGGTTGCATACAGACTCATTAACTGCAGCCTGTGCTCAGGTCCTTGGGGACCCAAGGTGGCCTTTTTGAGCACGGGGGGCAGAAACCTCTCTGGATTTGGATATGTCTGAGGAAGGAAGACAAAAGCCAAGGCCAGGTGCATGAGATGAAGTATTGTGTCTGTAGTTACCTTGGGGATTTTCCATCTTGCAGTAAAACGTTAATAGAAATTATTTGCAGCACGCCTCTAGTCATTGGGCAGTTTGTTTCAAAGGGTTATTTGCCTCATCCCAGATCTTTAGTGAAATTTTATGTGTAATTATTATGTATTTATTATCTATGTATTAATAATACCTTATGTATTATTATGCAATTATTATGAGGTAAGAGCATGTTACCCCATCTTACCTCAAAATGTAAATTTACTAAAATATATAGGTCATGGTCAAGAGAACTGTAACTCCAAGAATATATGCAATGGAATTATTTTTCATCACCATAGTCAGCAGTGTTTATTTCAAATCCAAAATTCAGAGCATAGTGACAGAGTTTTAGACTAATACTGTTAGTTTAGATAGATGGCATTAGTCAAGACAGAAGTTGAGAAATTAAGATATTAATTAATACCTTAAATGATTAAGATATTAATTAATGAATTAAGAAGAGCTTTGTGATCCCCCAAAGATACCCATGTTGTGCCCCATAAGAAGGCATCACATCTCTTAAGTTATTAGTCAACAGGAAAATTGTCAGTCACATTGTACTGTGTGTTTAAATAAAAACTGAGGATAGTAGTTGAGGATGTTGGAATTAGAAGCTCCTTAGCTCTGCAATCTCAAATTTCTTAAGGCAACTTAGCCTCAGTTTTCTCATATATACATTATAATATCTTCTGCAAAATAGAGCTGTTGTGAGGGTTAAATAAGAGGATGTGTGTAATAGCAGCTTGCCTGAAGAAAGTGCTGCATAAATGCTAGCCTGCTGAAATCATCCTTCATAGAGTAATCTTCCTTATCCGGGGCTGACAGGTCCAAGACTCCAGTGGATGCCTAAAGCCACAGGTAGTACCAAACCCTAGGAATACCATGTTTTTTCCTGTACATACATACCTGTGATAAAGTTTAACTTATAATTAGGCACAGTAAGAGATAAACAACAACTAGAAATAAAATAGAACAATTACAGTAAAAGTTATGTGAATGTGCACTCTCTTTCATAATATATTTTGTACTAGTCTTACCTTTTCACTTAAAGGAGGCCCTTTATGCTTCTCTCTGGAATATCTGAATTGTCAGCATCACTACTCTTGCATTTTGTGGCATTACTAAGTAAAATAAGGGTTACTTGAACACAAACAATGTGACAGTAAATCTGGTAACCAACACAGCTACTAAGTAACTGCTAAATAGAAAGGGTATATACTAATATAGCGGGTGGATATACTGGATAAAAGGATGATTCACAACCTGGGCAGAATTTAACAGGATGGCTCGAGACTTAACCACCCTACTCAAAATGGTAAACTATTTAAAACTTGTGAATTGTTTATTCCTGGAATTTTTCATTTAATATTTTTGGACCACAGTTGACCACACATAACTGAAATCACATAAAGCAAATCCACAGATGAGGGTGGGCTATTATGATAAAAACAGGAATAACTGGGATGAGGACTATCAAAGAGGGAGACTCACATTTGGTGTTCATTGGCTGAACTCTGGTTTTAGAGCTGGGATATAGTTATAAAATGCTCAAGTTGTAAAAGGCCAAATTACTTTTTGAAATTTATCTTCAGGAGAAAACCAACTACAAGCAAAACTTTAACTAAAAGGTTGTTCGTGGCAATAATTTATAACGGTGAAAATTTGAAAACAGTCTAAATCTTCAACAATAGTGACTAGTTAATGACATTTATTAAAATACTATTGTAGATTAAACTAATAGAAATATTTATTCTATATTGTAAGTCAAAAAAGGCAAGGTCTAAAAATATCTGAAGCAAAAAAATATTAACATTTGTTAAATTTGGCTGATAAAGATGTCTACAAAATTCTCCACAATTTTCTATGTATTTTGTAAAACTTTTCAAAATAAAAACAAAACTTCCACAATAGTGCATACAGAAGAAATTCTTTATTATGTGCCCTTCTCAGAACATAAGACTCATAATACTTTATTCTAATTCTTATTTCCTTCCCTCTTCCCTGTTAGACTTTAAGATATTTAGGGCAGCAGGTACCTTATCTATTTTATTCCCCGTAGCCCTTAGAACAGCGGTTCTCAACCTGTGGGTTGCGACCCCTTTAGGGGTCTAATGACCTTTTCACAGGGGTCTCCTAAGACCGTCGGAAAACACATATATAACTACATATTGTTTTTGTGATTAATCACTATGCTTTAATTGTGTTCAATTTGTAACAATGAAATTGGGGGTCACCACAACATGAGGAACTGTATTAAAGGGTCATGGCATGAGGAAGGTTGAGAATCACTGCCTTAGAACAATCCTTGAACATAAAAAGTTATCAGTATTTTAAAAAACAGATACAGCCGTGTAGAAATTATGGGTAATTCTTGTTTTCTTTATCATGATCTACAAGATCTTTCAGGGAACTCCTTTTAAATCTAGACTTCACTTAACTAGGTCAGCACAAATAGTTGTTTATTTGTAAATACGGTATAGAATTTCTTATTTTTTTTTAAATATATTTTATTGAGTTTTTACAGAGAGGAAAGGAGAGAGACAGAGAGAAACATCGATGAGAGAGAAACATCAACCAGCTGCCTCCTGCACACTCCCCACTGGGGATGTGCCCGCAACCAAGGTACATGCCCTTGACCGGAATCGAACCCGGGACCCTTCAGTCCGCAGGCCGACGCTCTAGCCACTGAGCCAAACCGGTTTCGGCTAGAATTTCTTATTCTTTACCTATATCATCCAGGTGAACTTGCAGTTGTTTTGACTTCTCTGTACCTAGAACATTTGCAGCTTGGACCCAAACCAAATACTTCTTGCCTCCTTGTAATGAATCAGTAGAGATGTTAATATAATTTGAGGCGAGATATTGTTGTTCTTCTTCTGTCTCTAAACTTTAAAAAAAAAAAAAGATCATAATTACCAGTTATGTTTGGCTTGAATTAATTATTCCTGAATTTTTTGATGCTACCTTTTTAACCTGCTTTCAGAAATCAACATTTACTGGAAAAAAAGAGATCAAACTTGATTTTATTTTGAGAATTTAAAAAAAGACTATCTATGACTACAATGTGACTTTCATGGGACCTAAACAATTTTGCCTTCATGGACTCCTTCTATTAAGAAAAAAAAAAGTATGTATGTGTGTAGGTGGGTTTATATATATGTGTGTACATACCTGTGTTTTTATAATATTTTACAACTGTTGCTATAAAAGCAAATATATTAATATCACATATTAAAACATTTTCTCGGACTGAACGTTTAATTTTTTCCTTTTGATTTTAAGTGAAATTAAACATTTTCAAGGGCTCCTGAAAGTATTATGGGCCCCAGGCACTATGCCTACTGTGCCGATTGAGTAAGTCAACTCTGGACATAGCTTGAAACACATGAGCACCCTCTGGGAAAGGGCATTTCATAGGGGCTCAGTGCAAGGGCTCAGATGTAGGATAACCATAAGAATGAGATGAGGGGTGATGGGCGCAGGAGATTTGGATGAGATAGGGGAAGACTAATCTTCCAGATAGGGAAAAAACAGTATGTTCTGAAACAAATAAATGAAATGACATGCCAGTTTTGAGAAAGTTCAACAAGTTCAATACTCTGGGGCATGAAAGTATAAGAAATAATTTGAAGTAGAGCAGACCAGGTCAAAAAGATCTTCTACATATTTTGAGGTTAGAAATGACTGGCTCTGGTGGTTTGATTAGATGAGGGGATGGAAAAGATAGAGGAGAGAGACCCACTTTGGAATGAGAGCTATCGAGAGCTATTAAATTATCACTTCCAATTATATTTATCTAAGTTTTTATAAGTGAATAATTGAGGATCTCTAACCCACCAATTAAAATTTCCAGTTACTTGTTAAGGCTGACACTTAACATTTTATTAACTGATATTACCTTTGAACAAAAAGTCTGAGCCTCTCTTTTAAATCTTTGAAAAAATTTACTCTGTAATATTTTAAGGGGTGGGAAATTGGGAGTAGTGGAGAGGAGAGTACTGGGGAATGTCTCTTTCCTCGTTTTCTGGTTCTGTAAGGAGAAATTGTCTTTAAACGTCCCCGCTTCTTGTCCTGCCCCTCGCTCTCCTTTCCCTCTTGAAAGTGGGGTGATTCTACTCAAGAATAACTGGGTCTGGGCCTCAGTCTCTTCCTCTTTCCTTTCCCCTCAGGAATCAGAAGACCAGGGAGATGTCCTTTTCTGCTGTAAGATTTTTTAAAAAATATATCTTTATTGATTTCAGAGAAATGCAAAAGGGAAAGGAGATAGAAACATCAATGATGAGAGAGAATCATTGATCGGATGCCTCCTGCATACCCCACACTGGGGATCAAGCCTGCAACCCAGGAATCGAACCATGACCTCCTGGTTCGTGGGTCAGTGCTCAACCACTGAGCCACACCGGCCAGGCAAAATCAGCATTTCTTGTCAGTTACTCCATTATTGTCAATAGCATGCTGCCTTTCTCATATCCTCAGTTTGCCTTTGTTTGTGTGCCATTTTAAAAAATTCATTGATTCGAGAGAGAAGGAGAGAGAGAGAGAGAAAGAGAGAGAGAGAGAGAGAGAGAGAGGTAAGGAAGGAAAGAGGGAGAGACAGAGAGAAGAGACATTGATCTGTTGTTCCACTTATTTATGTATTAATTGGTTGTTTCTCATATGCGCCCTGACCGGAGATTGAACCTGCAACCTTGGCGTATCTAGATGACTCTCTAACCAATTGAGCTACCCAGCCACAGCTCTCAGTTTTCCATTTTTAATAATTTTCTCTCCATCACACTTAAGAGACAACCAAAGAAGTGAAGCATTTTTTAAAAGATTGTTTTCTCTTTTCTCCCTGTTTTGGGAGCTGTGATCATGGCCTAGGTTCTATCTCTATATTAATTGCCATTGGTGTATTACTTGCAGATTCCTAAGTTAATTGTACTACATTGTGAAACCTAACTTGATATAGAAATCTAATTTAGAAGGGAAATAACCTTGGAATTTGAACAAAGGTGAAAAGACAGGTACCTTATATTTTTATATTTCACAAATAGAACACTTCACAGATTTGTATGTCATTTTCATTCAGGGGTCTTCTCCATCTTCTGCGCTGCTCCAATCATAGTATTAGTGCCGCAGAGGCAAGCACCGCCTGATTCTTTCTCTAATACCATTAACTGCTCTCTGTCCTGAGGGGCTGACTTGATAGGCTTTGTGGGGAAGAAACATTTTATAAATCACTGGCATTTCATCCCTGGGGCTCCACTTTGGGTCCTGTTCCTATTATGTGTCTATACAGCAACTTTTGAATTTCTCCAGCCCCACAGTCCCCCAGCCAGGATTATAACTTGCCAGACACTTAGAATTGTTGGAATCCAGAGTAACATGCTTGCTAAGACACAAAACTCCAGGGAGGAAAAGAGGAACCAGCCTTATACTACCATGAAATAAATGCATTTATAAATCAAATTACTACATGAATTATATTTCTGTTTTTTAAACTTATTGCCACTATCAGAGCCGGATAACCTCAGCAGGCAATCAAAAAATCCCTGTAAGGCTGACAGAGGGTGGGGGGAGAGGGGTCCACAGCGTGCAGGTGGCAGCAGCTACTCGATCTTGTTCAGCTCAGGTTTCTAACTGTCAGTATATATTTTCCAGCGCTGCCTCTGTCCTCTCACCAGCAGGGAGATCACCATGAGCACCATGAGAGGACAAGAAGGACATATCATGGTGATGAAAAGCACAGGGCCTGGGTTTTAGAGACAGACGTAGGTTCGAATTTCAGCTCTGCCCCTCGATAAATTGTGAGAGTGGAAGCCCCTCACTTAATCTCTATGTACTTCAGTTTACTCATCTGTAAAGCAGAAATAATAACATCCTGTTATCATGAGTAAATGAGTAAATTAAATAAGAAAGCATTGAGCATGGCTTCACATATTAGAAAACAGTTATTGCCCTAGCCGATGTGGTTCAGTGGATAGAGCATTGGCCTGCGGACCAGAGTCCCAGGTTCGATTCCGGTCAAGGGCATGTACCTCGGTTGCAGGCTCCTCCCCGGCCTGGGCCCTGTTCGGGGCTCATGCAGGAGGCAACCAATTGATGAGACCAATTGTTTCTCTCACATTGATGTTTCTCTAAATATATCCCTCTCTCTTCTACTCTCCCTAAAAATCAATGGAAAAATATCCTTGGGTGAGGATTAACAAAAAACAAATAAAAACAGTTATTAATATGACTTAAAAGGTACTTACGACATGTGACTTTTACGCATTTAAAAGAATAAACATGAAAGTTTTAAAATTGCTTTATATCAAGTGAAATTTTATATTGTTTGTATCTGAGGTCAAATCATGCCGTTAAATCCAAGTGTTTACATAGTTGACTTACATTCTTTCCGAAGTAAGGTGTTACATAAACAAATTAGAGGATAATTTGTTATAAAGCACGCTAGCCTCATGCTAAAAAAGAATTAAAATGTGAAAATCAGAAAATGGCAACTATGTGTAAGTACTAAGTAGGGCATCTGTGAATATTTTCCAGTTAGAGAAAACCACAAGCATATTCTTAATTGGTTTGTGGCTAATTCTTTTACCGCACATATTAAGACCACAAGTCAAAATGAAAATGTATTCTCAAACCGACATTAACCATAAAATGGATAATTTAATTCTGCTTTTAAAACCTCCTCTCATATTGGCATCTAGACCAAGCGCTATTTTAGATGAAGATTTCAATAATAATGACTGACTATACTTTGGGACTACTTTTATTTAAAACCATATATTACAAAGTTTTTTAATTTCTTATTTCTATTTCTTTATTTCATGTACTAATTAATACATGACAGAGTATTTGTTAAAGTGGGTCAGCACGATTTATATTTTCAGAAGTGTCCTGAGCATCTAGCTCTAGTTGTAATTAACAGATTTTCAATAAACACTGTCAACTTATGTTGATAATGGTGATAGTATCTTTCGTTTATTTCATCACTCATTAAACAACATGTATTTAATACCCACTATGTTCCAAGCACTACTTTAGACAAAATTCCAGGGAGGTAAAGAGGAACCAGCCTTATGTTACCAAATAATGAATACATTTATACATCAAAATACTACATAAATGAACAACAATAAACAAGTCAGCTAACGTCCCAAACTTTGTGGAACGTACATATTGGTAGAAACAAATAAATATATAGTATGTCCTTTAATGATACATGTTCAGAAGAAAAATAAGGCAAAAAGGGGTTAGGAAGTGCAAGCAGTAAGGGTGGGGGAATTTTTTTGTTTCAGGGAGATGAGGAAGGTGAATCTGAGAAGGTAACATTAGAGCGGTAAACAATCAAGTCTTGTGAGTTTCTGGAGGAAGAACATCTAGGCAACCTGCAAAGGCCCTTGCTTATCCCTTGCTTATCCCGTCCAAAGAACAGTAAACAGTAAGGAGGTCAAGGAAACTTGGCAGAGTGAGGGAGATGGGAAGGGGCTAGAGAAGCAGTTAGAGAGCTAGGAGGAGGGAGATTTAGTAGGCATTGTAAGGTCACGTCGGTCCTGCAAGGACCCTGGTTTAGATTTGAGTGAAATGAGAGATTTTGAGCAGAAGAGTGGCATGATCTGACGTGCATGTGAAAAGGGTGATGGTGGCTTCTTGTGAATAACTAATGAACTGTAGGAGGGCAAAGGTTGAGGCTAGGGCATCACTTAGGAAGTTCTTGTACTAAGTCAGATGAGAGATGATGTGGCTTAGACCAGGATTGCTATGTACGTAGTGAAAAGAGGTTAACTTTTGAAGATAGAGCCAGTGCATTTTGCTGATCGTTGGCACAGAAGAATCCAGGTGGAGGCCAGTGGATTTTCACCTGAGTAATGTGAAGGACGGAGTGGCCATTTACTGAATGCAAGT